TTTTTTTTCTAAAGGCTCTTCTGAACTTTGATATGTGCCAAGACACCGCTATTGAAAGCTGTATAATTATGTGCTATAGCCACTGTAGAAAATGCTTTGTTCACCACAACAAAGAACAATAAGCAAAGTAAAGTGACATTACACTGTATCTTTTTCTTTAAGAATGTTGAGAAAGGTCACGGTACGTTGTAACTAATAAAGCTGTTGAGTAAGGAAGTTTAAAGTTGATCTTGCTGTGCTTAAATGTAACCCAATGACAAAAAGGCAGAGGGAAGTAAAATTGTAATGACATTAAAAAATAGATCATATATCAACGTGCCAACTTCATTATACAAACACCTTGAATCCAAACAGAAAAACCGAGTGTAGTCCTGCAACAGTATTCCTCTTCGGATTCTCTCCCTAATAGCTTCCAACTACAATCTGCAATTCAACTACATGCAATGCACGGACCTTCTATTGCAAGCCGTGGATTTTGTTAGTTGATTAAAAACTGGGTTCATTTCCTGTGCTGTTTCACAAGAGAGCCTCTTCAAAATTTTTAAAAAGGCCCGAGGGCATCAATTAAATTCCCCGAAACCAAGATTTTTAAGTGAAAAAGAAGTTCCATCTAGACATCTATAGGTTTCAGTTTTCTTCAGAGGAATCGGGACAGTTAGGTTTGCTACTCTTAAACTGCCAAAGCAGCTTTGCTCTCCTTGCTGCAGATCCCCAGACAACGGCCTTCCGACTTTGTCTTTAAGAATGCTGAGAACGACATTGAAACGCTACAACAATAACGCCCTTGAAGGAGGAAGTATACAGCTGAGGGAAAAAATGAGAGGACTTTGATACCGAAAGAAACAACTGTCCCGTCAGGCTGTGCGCACTGCTAGTACCACCAGAAGTGCAGAGACTGCCACAGCAGAGCAGTTTGTGTGGAAGGAGCAGTCTCTGAGATGGAAGTTAGCAAGTTATGGACTTGATTTTCACTTCTCTTGAGGCCACTTTGCACTGCTCCAGTTGTGTGAAGGAGTATTAGGGTGGTTATAAATTGTACTTTACAGTGGCAGTGTATTGCAAAACCACTTATAAGTGGCCTGAGTTTAAATAAGAATTGGGTTCGAAGGCTTTAATTCTCCCTTTGGTGAACACCAATTCAGTTCAAGATGAATCCTGCAGATTAAATCAGGGAAGAATACAGGTTCCTAAAATAAGCACATGAGTGGTCAGAATTTTTGATAATTTAGCATGTCTTAATTTTTGAATGCAGTGCTGGGCATGCTTCATTTTCAGGGAATGGACTGTTGAGGACCTCCTGACAAAGTGGCTCTCATTAATAGATCTCCAGTTGAGCATCCCAAAATGGAATTGGCCTAAAACCATCATCACTTCTGAAAATTTTGGCAGCCAGCGTTCCTCTCAAGGGTTCATAGGCCGCTTATGTGACTGGGTTATTACCTAGATTTTATAGGTGGTATTTGAACTGTTTTACATAATCTCATTGATTTTTATGGGACTAACTCAGAGTGCCTTAAGTTAAACATTCTGCTAAGACTTGAGTACAACTGGTCTTGATTAGGTTTTTCCCACTAGTATGGTTTTCCCCTGCCAAAAGTAGAGCAAACTTCTTAAAAATGGTTTTCTCCTCCTTCAAAACGATGACACATGCCGTAACTAGTGCTATGAAAAAAGGCAATCATCGCGTCAAGCCTCACTGTACCAAAACTGCATACGGTGTATTTGTGCAAATAACGCAGCTTGGCAGATGTTTCACTATTGTGATCAATCTCAATAACTATGTCTGCAAAATCGGGCAAGTTCCCGTGAAGCAGCAGGCAGGCTGAGCTCAGAAAGATGGCCTACGCGGGGGCTTGCTTTGGTGCTCATTTGCTCGCTACGCAGAGGAGCGTGGCGAGTGTAAGGAGTAGGCAGGAGGGCATAGAGCGAAATCGCTAGCACAGAGAGACCTTGAGACTTCAGAACTAAGACTGAGTCATTAAATGCCCACAAGGAAAAGGAACGGGCATCGTGCAGAGAGACGTTAATACACAGAGAACGACAGTAACTACAAAAAATGCCAGGGAACAAGGATAATGGAGGAGGAGCAGGAGCCAAAGCAAGGTTAAAATCCAGGTATTGTCCTCAGGCCAGTTCCGTTTTCTTGTTGTAAGTACATAAATCAGAAAAAAAACCCCAAACTTAATTATGGTTTTTAACATATTTTTAGTTTAACTTACAGCACGGTGTCCCTTGTGTTTGAAATCATCCTGCTACAGTCACAACTGTGAGCTCTGATGATCTGTGTTAGGATGGATTTTGAAAGAGTTACAAAATTATTTAGGATTTTTAGGGTTTTTTTCTTTTAATGCATAGCAACAATACCTGACTTTAATTATTGCAGCCGGCATTCAGAAGCCTATGGCAACACCACAGTTGAGGTAGATATCGAGTGGCACAGCAAGCTGTCCTCTCTTTCTGACCAACTTCAGCATTTGTGCTGGGACACTGACATTTGTGGCTTTCATTCACCAGAACAACTCACCTTCTCCCTCCCTGGAAGAACAGCCCCAGAGCAGAGCAGTGTCTTCACCTTTCACAAAAAAATAGTGGGTTTCCACACCCACCCCCCCCCTTTCAAAACTCAGTTTCAAATTGCTCTGTGCAGCCCAGCACGAGTTTCTCCAGCTACCCCTACTGCGAGAGAGAGAAATGTGGAACTGGCTGGACACATACACACACATGTGCACACAAAACACAGGCAAAGTTGCATTGCACTGGAGGAGGTGTTGTATCTGTCTCTGGCTCACGGCCACAAGGGTACAATGGCAAAGCTAAAAACGATAGGACACGTGGTTTGTTAAACATCTTATTTGACTTTGCTACAAGCTGTCTGTTGCACTGCGCAGGGAAAGGAACACAGTATCACAGATTCCTGAGCAAATCAATGGCATAGCCTGATATGGACCAAATGCACATTTTGGCTTTATAGTTTTTCCTATATAATCAATTTAGTAAAGTATATGCACCCAAGAAGAGATAAAGGGGGAAGGGGTCGGTTTAGGAATAGCAGTGTATGTGATTTAAGAGAAACAGCGTATCAGACTAATCAGAAGATCAGCAAAGCATCATTGAAGTATGAGAGGAAGGAACTTTGATGATGCTAAATATGGCAAATGCTCAGTTTGCTAAATCCTTTGGGATCCAGTTTCAACATTACAGTACTTGTCATTTTTGCTTTGCAGCTTGTGGGGGAGGGGCCAGGCATTTATCAGGAAAAGTTACATTGGCTACATCAAAAACTGCACCATACAGTTTAATGATCTCATAACTGCTGGATCTCCAGTGCAAAACCAAGATTTAAAACTCTAGGAAACTCTCATTATACTAGATAACACAAGAAAGACTGAGTGAAAGAATCTGCAAATCATCACCATTTATAACATCTCTTTCCCTCCGTGATGGGGGAAAAAAACCCAAGGGACTCCTTTCCCATGGGCTGCTAGACCCCTCGGCTGAGGAGAGGAGACTGCAATCACTAGCAGTGCTAAACATAAGAGATTTATATATTCTTATCTACCTGAAAACACCTATATGCTCCCCACAATTCTTCACTGAAGTAATCCATTTACATTAACACTGCAACTAACGTTTTGAACAGGAGTAGTAAGTGCCTGAAAGCATCAAGGATACGAGAACTTTTGAGGGCAAAGAACATTTCAACCTACGTTGTGCAAACAGAAAAAAGTTGCGTTAAAAAGAAAAAAAAAAGCTTGAGGGAATTGAAGCGTATTTTGACAGAAAAGTTGGTCACACTTATCTCCTTATATATTTCCTTTTCTTTTTCTGTATGTAGCTGCTATGCCTCGGCACACAGGAAGACTTATCTCCCAGGGGTGGGAGTCTCCTGTCTTGTGCATGCACGAGTCCCTCACAGGCCAGAGCCCTCAGGAGGGCCGGGGGGGGCCACGGCACACCAAACATGAAGGCTGGATGTTGTCGTCAACCGCAATGAATGGCAAACCCCTCGAGGAACACCCTCTTCCCCCCTCTTTCTTCATCTGCCCCTTCCGTGCAACCATTCTCCCAGAAAACTGTGTGCCCAGAAGAGGGGGAAGGAGCTGAGAGAGCCGAGAAAGTCTTTGCGTAGAGACTTTTTTGCATCATCTGAACTTAAGTGCTGCGAAAGCGAGCCCTGCTAAAAATCCCTCAGAAGGATTTTAGGCAGGAAACCACCCTTCTTGTGCTGACAAATGTCACTTTTGCTACAGGAGGGGGCTCATTATGCAACTTGACCTCGAGTGAAAGGTGCAGACAAAAAAAAAATAAATTAGTAATTAGTACCACCATCGCTTTCCCACTCCACTTCACCAAGAGATGGGATTACTCGAGCCTCCCCCTCACGCACACCCTGTTCAAATGCATCATTACATCTGACTACCTGAACAATGCAAACTGCCATCCTCAGCAGGGAGAAACACTCTCCCGTGGTATCGCCGAGGGTCAGCATGTTAATGATAACAATAGTCTGCTGAGCTACCAGGCTGGCCTGTAAACAGGAATCTTAATCAAAGCCACAAACCCGTTGCAGCAGAAAACAGAAAGCATTTACTTCGAGTAGTCATTTTATCCTGCAGCTTGACAAAGCAAATGCATTTTAGTTCTATAAATCAAATGAAGGAAAGCAGAGGAAGGTAACTGCAAGCGTTTGATC